CCTCTCTAAGAGGATAGGCTTCTGGCCAACGAGTGTTTCGATCAATAATTGTTAATATGTATCGGTAACCATTTGAAATTGTCAAGGGTCCTACAATGTCTGTATGTAGATGCTCAAATCTACCTTTTGGTATAGTTATTTTACTAATAGGAGTTTTAGTGTGTTTAAACACTTTTGCTTTTTGACAACCTGTGCAAATTCTAACCCATTCATTGATTTCTTTATTCATTGATGGCCAGAAATATTTGGATTTAATTAAATGTCGTGTAGCTCTAGTACCAGGATGAGCTATGTTATGTAATTTAGAAAATGCTTCTTTGCGAAGGCTTTGTGGTATGTATGGTCTAGTAGTTTCATTTGATTCTTCACAAAAAATTTTAATGTTAAGAATAGGAACTTCAATTTCTATTAATTTATAAATACCCTCTGGATTCTTAATAAAATTTTTTAAAAATGTATCTTTTTGCTGTTCTTCATATAATCTTTTAAGGTTAAACTCTTCATTTTCTATAGGTTCTACTTCTGGAATTCGCGAAAGTGTGTCTGCTACAATATTATTTTTGCCTGAAATATGTTTGATGTCACTAGTAAATTGTGAAATATATTCAAGATGCCTTGTCTGACGAGGACTACGTTCCATTTTCGAGTCTAGAACATAAGTTAACGGTTTGTGGTCTGTATAGACCGTAAATTTACGTCCTTCTAATATGTGCCTAAAATGTTTAATAGTTTCATATATTGCTAACAATTCTCGGTCAAAAGCACTGTATTTTGTTTCAGATGCTGTTAATTTCTTTGAATAGAATGCTAAAGGCTCAATTTCATTTCCAATGTGTTGCTCCAGAACACCTCCTATCGCAATTATTGAAGCGTCTACTGATATTGAAAGATTTGCTGTTTTGTCAAAATGGTTCAAAAGGACTTTTGACGCAAAAATCTCTTTGACTTTTTCAAAGTTTTGTGCCGCTTCACTATTCCAAATTAAACTATGGTTCTTTTGTTTCAAGGCAAGTGTTACCATTGTGTGAATCGGGCTTAAAAATTCCGCTAGCCTTGGTATATATCGATGGTAATAATTTACCATACCTATGAACTTTTGCATTTGTTTAGCTGTTTTGGGACGTTCAAACTCACGAATGACTTTGACTTTTTCATTAGTGGGCTTAATGCCTTCGTTAGAAATATTGTAACCTAAAAAATCGATTTGTGATGCGCCAAAAATGCATTTATTTGGCTTGATATTTAAGCCGAAATCGTTTAAAGTTTTAAATACTATTTGTAGGTGTCGTAAATGCTCCTCTTCATTACTACTTGCTATAAGTATATCATCCAAATATACAAAAATAAAATCTAAGTCCGCTAAAACTTCATTTATAAAACGTTGAAAAGTCTGCGCAGAATTTCTAAGACCGAAAGGCATTCTTACAAATTCAAAAAGACCAAATGGTGTTGTAATCGCGGTTTTACCAATGTCTTCTTCCGCCATTGGTATTTGGTGATAGGCACGTACTAAATCTATCTTTGAAAAAATATGTTTTGAACGCAAGTTTATATTTAAATCGTGTATGTGAGGTAGTGGATATCGATCAGGTACTGTTATAAAATTTAATCTTCGATAATCACCACATGGACGCCAATCATTGGCCTCCTTTTTGGGTACTAAATGTAGTGGAGAAGCCACATGTGAATTAGAAGAGCGACAAATACCAGATTTCACTAAAAAATCAAACTCAGTTTTTGCTACTTTAAATTTAATTGGATCAAGTCTTCTCGGTCTCGAAAAAGGTAGTTTACCAACACAAATAATACGGTGAACAGTAGAATGTTTAATGGGTTTATTGTAGTCAGGATCACATGTTAAAGATGGAAATGCCTTAAGTAATTTTGTATATTTATCTTCTACAGGAAATAATTTTGGCAACGATATTTTCGAAAAACCAGATATTGCACTTACTGAAATATTTGTCAATGGGTCTACTAAACGTCTATTTCTCAAATCAACCAAAAGGCCATATTTTGCTAAAAAATCTGCTCCAATTATTGGTTTTGTTATATCTGCTATAATAAAACTAAATTGAAATTCTCTTCTTAAACATAAATTTACATTTAATATTTTTTTACCATAAGTTTTTATGGTAGTACCGTTAGCTGCCGTTAAAAATAAATCAGAACATTTTGCATTATTTTTGAATTTTGAAAAAGGAAGAACTGAAATTTCAGCACCACTGTCGATCAAAAATTGTAACTTGTTGTCTTTATCATAAACAAATAGGCGACGTGTTGAAATTTCGTCTAACCCATTACTTGTCGCCGAAGTAATAGGTGGAATTAGTTTTCCTGAGATTCATGCTGCCTGTATGAGCACGGTTGTTCGCATTTTCTTGCTTTACTGCCAAATCGATAGTGATATCTACAAACCCAGTTTTGAGAATTTGACCTTGTTCGCGAACGATTCCTACTAAATGGTCTAGAAGCTCTTGTTGATCTATTTTCCATGGTCTGCCTCATAGAACAAATTTCCATGGACAACTTTGCAAAACTTTCACGCATAGAAGAAGTAATTTTAACTAAATTTTCCATTGATCTTTCGATGTGTGAATTTGTTGTCGTTATACTAGTGCTACAAACTTCACTTTTGTTCATAACCTCCCACATATCATCAGCTAGTTTAACCATATCCTGAATATTTACAGCATTTGATGCAGTTAAAGCAATATTCAGATTTTTTGGCAATTTTCTTAGCCAAAGCTTTTTAAATAAATCTACACTGAAATTTGAACCTGCTAAAACCAAGAGAGATCGATATAACTCGGAGGGACTTCTATCACCAAGTTCTGAAGCAGACAGCACTTGGTCTAATCTTTTACGTTCACTCAGCGAATGTCGTTCTATAAGATGCCTTTTTAAATTCTCATATTTACTTTCTGAAGGAGGGTTTTGAATAATATCAAACACCGTCATAATTACCTCTTGGGGAAGTGAAATTATGAGGTACTCGTATTTGGTATTATCCAACGTAATATTTTTTGATGCGAATTGAGCCTCAATATGAATGAACCATGCTTCGGGATGGTCATTCCAAAAAGTTGGTAATTTTACCGAAGTCGCTGCTATTTCTGAATTTTGTTGTTCATTTAAATATTGTGTTTGTGTTAATTGTTGTGTACTGTTAGAATT